CTACATGAGAGACAGTAAGTTTATACATATCATACATATATACATACACACATTATACCCACACACATGCACAGACAGATATACACATGTGAGCATAGGTATGTATATATATACAACACATACAAACATATCATATATACATATACACATCATGTCCACATACATGCATATCCTACACAGATATACATGTGTGCACATAGTATATATACAATACATATACATATATAATATATACATATACACACATGCATACACACAGATATACATGTATGTATATATATCATATATGCAGAAATATACCCACATACATACACATATAGATATACACGTGTGCACATAGGTATATATATATATACACACAATCTATACACATATATAATATATAAATACATATTATACCCATATACACGCACACAGAGATATACACATGTGCACATCAGCATATATATATATACAGAGTAATAACACATGTATATATTATGCATGTACATTGTACATATTATACACACATGATATGTATATGTGTATATATGTACACGTTGTCTATATAATAGACATATTAATATATACACAGACACGTATATAGCAATTATACATACATATATAACATGTGCAGTGTGTATCTTATATGAAATGTGCTTGTCATATATATATGCATATTTGTATATATGTATAGATATATATATATACATACATACATATATCTCTATCTCTATCATCTATCAATCTATGACACTAGACTAGGCATTGGAGATATGGAGATAAAAAAATGAAATGGTTTCTGGCCTTTAGCTTACATTCTATCAGAGAAACAACAGGTATGCATATAAATGAATATGAAATATATCCAAAGTAAATACAAGGTAATTGGGAGGGGGAACTCTATGCTGGGGAGATGAGGAAAGGACTCATATAGGAGGTGACACTGAAGTTGAGCTTTGAAGAAAGCGAAGGATTTTAAGAGGTGTAGGTGAGAAAGAAGTATGTTCCAGGCATAGGAGAATAACCCGCGGAGGTAGGAAATGGAATGTAGTATAAGAAAACAAAAAGTAGGCTGAGAGTGTGATGGAGAGGAACACGTAGGTGGTTCCCCAGAAGCAACCCCCAGTTTTCTGTTTGGGTCTCCTAGAGACACTGTTCCAGTTTCAAAGTACTTTGTGAACCTGTAGTCCTGAAACTATAGCTCAGAGACTTCAATCTACATGTTTAGTTTCAATAGTCAGCTGGAGAATAGAATTACTTCAAAGCAAAGACATTTACTGAAATGTGAGTAAAGTAGGAAATAGTAAGGAGTAGCAATATGTTATCTCCATAGAACCTGGGGCTCTTTTATCTGCAAATACACACAGAATCAAAGAAGAGAAAGAGAAAGGACGTCCATAAAGGTCACAAGTAGAGAGGCACACACATAGGGAACCCATATGGCCAAGGCACACATGTGGAGTTCGGTCTCTAGGGTCTCGAGGGTCAGGTCTGCCGGGCTCTAGGGTCACTGCTTCTGCTGGTCTTGGTCTTGTAATCTCCCCTGGATGCTGCTGGATGTTGCTTGGTTATGGTCTCCACTGCTTCGTGCTTTTGGCTCAGCTGAAATTCTTGACTAGGGTAGTGCTATGTTCTTTTACCCAGCATGTTTTGCAAAAAAACAAAAAACAAAAAACAAAAAAACCAAAAACCCAAATTATCCTTGCCCTGGGACCAGCAGAACCTTTCCAGTTTTGCTCCCTCAGAGTCTTGGCTATGAGGACGATCACTGAGCAAAAGATTCTTAGCTCCTGGCACCAACTTTGCCAGAACAAAGAGAATGGTTGTCTAGGAAAGCTAATGGCCTTGTGCTTTTCCATTCTCTCTATTATATTTCACTAAAGAGTCTTAGCAAAGTCCATGCCACCTAGTTCTTGGACTACCTGAAATTTAGCAGTATTTTGTGAGTCTCCAAACCTGCCATAGCTTGTAGGCTGGGAGAAATTCGCTCACCTCCAAATACATGGTGATACAAATTTTAAAAAACATTTTACAAAATTCTTGTAGGTTATGATTTGTCTTGGTGCGGCATGCCCTAGCTTAAAGATAACAGGAAAAGAAAAAAGTGTAAAAATAGCACACACAAAAAAGAAAAAGGAAAAATAAGTTTCCCCTTTTTTAAAGAAAGTTTGGTTCAAATGAGCTCCCAGACTATGTGAGGCATTTACAATAAGAATTATGGACCTGAGGTTGACTGGAAGTCCTTAGTAAAAAAAAAAAAATTCCTCTAAGCTATTCATTCAGGCAATTCATAAATTTCTCTGTTGCATCCCCATAAAATCATAAAATATTCCAAATTGAAGTCTAGCAAAAAATTTCTCCAATGGGTCCCTGCAACTGCACAGGACACCTGAAATTTCTCCAGTGGATCCCTATAACACATTAGGCATTCCAAGTGGAAGTCTGAATTCATACTGTACTAGGATAAGTAGGCTAGCTAGAGAAGTAATCAAACAGCCTTGGAAAAGTACCCGCATATTTGGGGCTTCCAAAACAGGCGATTAAATACTTGGGGTCAATGTATTCAGAGTTTCTAGGGCATTAGACAGATCTTACCCTATGGAGCTTCAATCTATAAGGCTCTTGGACAAGTTGTCCATACCCATGTTACAATATAAGAATCTAATTGTGCTTAAAAGTAAAATAAAATTAGTTTGGTTGAGCCCCCACAGAATTCTCTTAATACCTTTACATCTTAAGTCATGAGACACTCCTTTAACTGGAGTTCTCTCTGTGGCTCTAGAATCATTTCTAGGTACCCATATTCTAGAGACAGAACATATACTGCTCATAGCAGCTTCCACATTCATAATGGACTTCATACAACAACGATTAGTACTTAAGAATTAAACCATGCAAAAGTTATTGCAAAGCAATTGCTCTGATTTATAAAGGAAACACTTCAGAAAACTAATTATAGCCTGAAAACTAAAGAAAATACCAAGAGATCCTTTCCCCACTAGGTTGTGCTCTGGAAGAGATGCATAGGGAAAAAGGTAAAAGAGCCAGTTTTCAAGATCTCAGAACTTCTTCAAAAGCTAAGTCCTTCCCAGAGCTGACTTCTAAGAGCCTACAGTCCACAGAGCAGGGCCAGCTTTCTTTTTAAAGGCCACAAAGAGGTGTGACTGGATCCTCAATTAACCAATTACTAAAAGTTTTATGTGTCTTATCCAGTGGTCATCCAATTCACTTGCATGTCATGGCATCATCTTCATGATGTCATAGTTCTCTTCGAGAATGAAGGACAAACAGCAGCAACCCTATTATGCTATTAAAGGAAACTTCTTATATTCTGTTATTGGGTTATTTAGGAAAATTCCACAATCTGATAAAAGACTTACCGCCTTGAGTGTGTCTTCTACCCTAATAATTCTGGAAAGAGAGGTTAAGATCAGATTGTGAAAGTTTTTAAATGCCAAATGCAGGTGGACTCTTCCTTCCCTGAAACCTTTACAAACCCAGAATTCACTGTCGTGGACATAAAGACCATGGTCATAAAACCAGAAGATGAAAAAAAAGTTCTTTAGAGAATTTTCATCACCAACACAAAGATAATTCCTTGGGTTGGAATCAAGGTGTGAACAAATCCTCTGTTAAGCTGGCTGACCACATGAATCCAATATGGCATCAAGCTCCAGGCCAAATTCAAGGGCAGTGGATCAGGGCTATTACCTGATCCCTAATTCAAAAGGTGCAATTCAGTGTCATTTGAATAGCTGTACGTATAAAGCACAGTGTCAAATGGAGGGGCTACTACAAAGACAATTTTAAAATAATCCCTGCCTTCAAGGAACTTACATTCTACTGGGATCTTTTTAGAAGATAGACCTTTTATAGCTTTGAAAGGAGGGAAAAATGTCCTGGAAGTCTGCTATTCTTTTTTTTTCTTCTTCTTACGAACAGAATTTTTATTATCATTATAAACATCTGAAAGCAAATGTACAATGATATAAATATACATAGGTTATGAGATCACTACTCAATGGTCTTCTCAGTAATGCTTATGCATACAAGATTGTGACATTGTCAGCAATATGTTCTTGCAATGCAAACAAGAATTATCAATGTAAGCTGTCAGTACATTTTAATTTTTGTTTAAAATCACCTATTCATTTCTTTTTTTAAAATATATTTTATTTTCCCCCAATTACATGTTGAAACAATTTTTTAACATTTGTTTTTTTTTTAAGTTTTGAGTTCCAAATTCTCTCTCTCCCTTTCTTCTTCCTCTACCCCCACCTAGAGATGATAAGCAATCAGATATAGGTTATACATGTGCAATCTTGTAAAACATTTCCGTATTAGTCGTTTTGTACAAGAAGACTTGAATAAAAAAGAATGAAAAAGTGAAAAATAGCATGCTTCGGTTTGTATTCAAACAGTGTCAGTTCTTTCTCTGGA